GGGGCTGTCTGTAAGCGAGGACTGGCCTGTCTCCCAAGGTCTGTGAGAGTGAGGGATCGTCCTTCAGGATAGGTTGTAGATCCTTGATGATGCACTGGAGAGGTTTTAGTTGGGGGCTGTAGGTGATGGCTAGTGGCGTTCTGTTACTTTCTTTGTTGGGCTTGTCTTGTAGTAGGTGACTTCTGGGTACCCTTCTGGCTCTGTCAATCTGTTTCTTCACTTCATCAGGTGGGTATTGTAGTTTTAAGAATGCTTGATAGAGATCCTGTAGGTGTTTGTCTCCGTCTGAGGGATCTTAGAGCTTGGCTGTAGACAATGGATTGTGTGATGTGGTCTGGATGAAAGCTGGAGGCATGTAGGCAAGTATAGCGGTCAGTAGGATTCCAGTATAGGGTGGTGTTTATGTGACCATCGCTTATTAGCACTGTAGTGCCTAGGAAGTGGACCTCTTGTCACCACAGGCTGGCAGGTTGCCCTTCAGCCAGGTTCTCCCCTTTGATCAGTGCTTCAGTCATTTGGTGGTGGTGGTGGTGGTGTCTGTACATGGAGGTGGAAGAGAGACAGCATGGCAAATGTGTCTCCCCTTTATCATGTTCTTTCTTTCCTCTTGGCTTTGCCCCCCCCCCCGCCTTCAGAGTCAGGTGAGCATTATCTCATCGCAGTCCCAAACTGACCAAGGAAAGGGGGGTGACTCACTCAAAAGTCCAACAGATCCTTTGTTGTTGCCTAGGCCAGTGTCCTCTGTTCCTGTGAGGCTGGGCTGGGTTTGTTCCATACATGCCCTGATGAGGTGTGAACTTCCCCTCTGCTCCTGGAAAGTTTTGCCTGGGCTTGTTTTAAACCATGAGGAAACATTTTCAGCCTCATAACTATATACATGAAATTACAACCTGTAACATGACTATAACAACAATGCTCAGTGCATTATGAGCCTTCCGAAGACACCCGACATGACAAACTTTGCATTGGATAACACACAATCATATTATAAGGATGAACATGGGGGTGCAGGGTGTTCCCTGATGTACAGAGCATCACACTATCCAAATCTCTGTCTCTCAATCCTTGCTTTATTTTACCTTCATGATTATTATTTTTAGAGGCAGGGGAAGAGAGAGTGGCTGTGGAGAGAAACTATTTCTAGGTTGGAAGGCAAGGCAGTATTTTTGTGGGAGGAAAATATTGGCGGTAACCCCATTATAATAAGAAAAGAAAGAGTATGTATAATGGTCTTAAGTCGTACCAAAATGCTAGGCTCCTTGTCTCGCTCGGCTCAGTGTAGCTCAGGCACTGGATAAAACAGGAGGTAGTGAGATATTTTAGGAATGAAGTGGGGTGCTGGCTTTAAAATTAGTTAGATCATTGCTGAAGAGATTCAGACATATTTCAGGGGAAGTGCCCAAGGACCTTTACTCAGTTTGTGTAGATTAATACAGTTCAGGAAGAAATCCAATTACTGAGCTAATTATCACCTTAGCTGAGTGGTAGGAACTAACTTTAAAGTAAGAAACCACTGAAGGGAAGCCCAAATTGCCCAGTAGTCCCAGAAGTTCATTTTTAAGAGATCCTAGCTGACAGCAAAAAGCCCAGGGGAAACGTGCCGCCGAGTTTGGTTATTAGATGCAGTATATTATAATTCAATACTATGAAGATTCCTTTTAAGAAGCTACAAACAGAACTTCAGTTACCATAATTGTGGAATATTTTAAGATCCAAAGTGGACTTTGTGGATGAGCTACTTCAGCTCCCCTGAATTTCAGTACCGAAGTCATTTATACATATTGTGTTTTTCAACCACTATCTACTATATTTTCCGCTGGATTTTTACAAGATATTAAAATTATGTCTTGAAAGTATCTGGATGAAGACCTGGGTTTTTCCTGTGTTGTTAGGGAAACTAATACTCCTTATCCTCTTTCATCTTGAGCCTCCCTATTTTCATAGCTTAAGTGATCTAGAGTACACTGAGACTGCAAGTTTCAAGCTACAACACAGAGCTTTTTGTTGTGAAAACTGCTTCATTTGGGTATAGCAGTTCATTTCCTTCTCACCTTCCAATCTTCTTCCCATTTCTGAATATGCCAAAGCACTTCTATTTTCTATAATTGTTTCATGCATCTCAGTGACCCAGGGACATTTTGATGCCAACTGGCAAAGGCCACAGGGGATGTATAGAGTTTTACAGGAACCCCCAGGTCAGATATAGGCATATTAAGTTCACCAAAGGGTAGCATGTAAGAGCTCTACTAGGGTGTCAAGCGATTAAAAAAAATTAATCACGATTAATCACGCAATTAATCACACTGTTAAACAATAATATAATACCATTTATTTAAATATTTTTGGATGTTTTCTATATTTTCAAATATATTGATTTCAATTACAACACAGAATACAAAGTGTACAGTGCTCACTTTATATTTATTTTTATTACAGATATTTGCACAGTAAAAAAACAAAAGTAACAGTATTTTTTTAATTCACCTAATACAAGTACTGTAGTGCAATCTCTTTATCATGAAAGTTGATCTTACAAATATAGAGTTGTGTGCAAAAAATAACTGCATTCAAAAATAAAACAATGGAAAACTTTAGAGCCTACAAGTCCACTCAGTCCTACTTCTTGTTTAGCCAATTGCTCAGACAAACAAGTTTGTTTACATTTGCAGGAGATAATGCTGCCGGCTTCTTATTTACAATGTAACTTGAAAGTGAGAACAGGTGTTCGCGTGGCAATTTTGTAACCGGCATTGAAAGGTATTTACATGCCAGAGATGCTAAACATTCGTATGCCCCTTCATGCTTCGGCCACCATTCCAGAGGACATGCTTCCACGCTGATGACACTCGTTAAAAAAATAATGCGTTAATTATATTTGTGACTGAACTCCTTGGGGGAGAATTGTATGTCTCCTGCTCTGTTTTACCTGCATTCTGCCATATAGTTCATGTTATAGCAGTTTTGGAGGATGACCCAGCACATGTTGTTCATTTTAAGAACACCTTCACCGCAGATTTGACAAAATGCAAAGAAGGTACCCAATGTGAGATTTCTAAAAATAGCTACAGCACTCAACCCAAATCTCAACTCAAGGTTTAAGAATCTGAAGTGCCTTCTAAAATCTGAGAGGAACAAGGTGTGGAACATGCTTTCAGAAGTCTTAAAAGAGCAACACTCTGATGTGGAAACTACAGAACCCAAACCACCAAAAAAGAAAATCAACCGTCTGCTGGTAGCATCTGACTCAGATGATTAAAATGATCATGCGTCGATCCGCTCTGCTTTGGATTGTTATCAAGCAAAGCCCGTCATCAGCATGGACGCATGTCCTCTGGAATGGTTGTTGAAGCATGAAGGGACATATGAATCTTTAGCACATCTTGCACATAAATATCTTGTGACGCCAGCTACAACAGTGCCACATGAACACCTGTTCCCACTTTCAAGTGACATTGTAAACAAGAAGCATCATGGGGTAAGAGACAATAATCTGTAATTGGAGAAAAAATGAAGATGGGACAAGATTTTCTCCTTTACCTAGGAGACAAACTGACAGCAGCGTGTCTTGTCTCATGAAAAAGGGTTCACAACCTGTCTCCCTGGAAGAAGCACTGGTGAACAATACTTTATTAGATGTGAGAGTATCCTGTTAATTAAGTCTTGGCTCTAGAATGTGTTTATTTTATTTTATATGTAAGCATTTGTTTCCAATACCTCTAGTTGCTATCACATGAATCCCTATAATTTTTTAAGTAAACCTTTGCTTGTTGTGTCTATAATAGGGTGACCAGGTGTCCGATTTTGGACCGGAACACCCGGTCGAAAAGAGACCATGGCAGGCTCCAGTCAGCACCGCTGACTGGGCCTTTGACTCTCTGGTTGGCAGCGCCGCGCAGCAGGGCTGGCAGCTCCCTGCTAGCCTCTGCGCCGCGTGGCTCCTGGGAAGCAGCTGGCATGTCCCCTCTCCGGCTCCTATAGGGGAAGCCAGGGGGCTCTGCACACTGCCTACGCCCCAAGCACCGCCCCTGCAGCTCCCATTGGCCAGGAAATATGGCCAATGGGAGCTGCAGGGCGGAGCCTGTGGACAGGGCAGCGCGCAGAGTCTCCTGGCCGTGCCTCCACGTAAGAGCTGGAGGAGGGGACATGCTGTTGCTTCCAGGAGCTGCTTGAGGTAAGCACCACCCGGAGCCTGCACTCCGAACCCCTCCTGGGCCCCAACCTCCAGCCCCAGCCCTGATCCCCCTCCCGCCCTCCGAACCCCTCGGTCCCAGGCCGCAGCACCCTCCTACACCCCAACCCCCTCCTCCCTAGCCCCACCCCAGAGTCTGCACTCCCAACCAGAACCCTCACACCTCCCAACCCCCTACCCCAGCCTGGAGCCACCTCCCGCATCCTGAACCCCTCATTTCTGGCCCCACCCAGGAACCTGCACCCCCAGCCCAGAGCCCGTACATCCTCACACACCAAACCCCTTGGCTCCACCCCTCAGCCTGGAGCCCCCTCCTGTACCCCAAACCCCTCATCCCTGGCCCCACCCCAGAGCCCACACCCCCAGCTGGAGCCCTCACCCCCTCTCATATCCCAACCCACTGCCTCAGTCTGGAATCCCCTCCCGCACTCTGAACTCCTCATTTCTGGCCCCACCCTGGAGCTCTCACCCCTCCCGCACCCCAGCCCCCTGAGCCAGATCAGTGAAAATGAGTGAGTGAGTGAGTGAGGGTGGGGAAAGCAAGCGACAGAGGAAGGGGGGGAATGGAGTGAGCGGGGGGCGTGGCCTCAGAGAAGAGGTGGGGCATGGGCAGGGCCTTGGAGGAGGGGCGGGGCATGGGTGTTCGGTTTTGTGCGAGTAGAAAGTTGGCAACCCTAGCTTCAGACACTCCTCCAGGATCTGTCTCTGTCTGCCATGTCAGTCTCCCTTACAAGGAAGAGCTTACTCACAACTCCCCCTTATCTCTCTCCAGAATTTCCTTTTAAACTTTTACTGTCTCTTTGATCTCTAGGCTCACAGCCTTGGCAAAACGTATGTGTAACTATGAGATGGAGCCTGCAACTAGGCCACTCTTTGCATTGCCCCTGCTCAAGTGTTTGTTGCAGGGGTTGCTTACCTGTAGCCATTGGGGGTGCATTCCTGTTTGTTTTTCCAACAGCCCCCTAGCAAGCTAAATCAATACCATCCATACAGGAAAGTCTAATAACCCAATATATCTATGCAGTAACTCACTGACCCAGTTACATGCAGTGTTCATAAAATTGTTATTGTTCAGTATTCTTAGATTATTACATAGCAGCTCCACCGTCCACTGTATTCACAACATATATAGACAATGCTATCAATTAAATAACACGTTATATAGAACAAAAACTACTGTATGGTTAGTCCTCATTTCTGGCCCCACCCCAGAGCCCGCACCCCAGCTGGAGCCCTCACCCCGTCCTACACCCCACCCCCCTGGGCCAGCTTGGTGAAAGTGAGCGAGTGAGGGTGGGGAAAGGGAGTGACAGAGGGAGGGGGGATGGAGTGAGTGGGGGCAGGACCTCATAGAAGGGGTGGGACATGGGTGGGGGCTTCGGGGAGGGGAGGGGCAGGGGGCGGGGCAAGGGTGTTTGGTTTTGTGCAAATAGAAAGTTGGCAACCCTAGTCTATAAACATATCTAAGTGCTATGTGTTAAATGGAGCAGTGATCTGAGGTATAACTGGTATACTGGGGTCTACTGCTCCTGTAGAAACAGTGAATCTGTGAATGCTGCGTGTGTCTAGAGCTGATGACTCCAGGCTTGGGGACCTGGAGGGCTTGGGGACTGGAGTGTGCCAATCACTAACCGGTAGAGAGGCAGGCAGGCCTGTGTAGGTCTAGAGGGAGGGATAGCTCCCTCTAGAGGGGGGAGGGATAGCTCAGTGGTTTGAGCATTGGCCTGCTAAACCCAGGGTTGTGAGTTCAATCCTTGAGGTGGCCACTTAGGGATCTGGGGCAAAATCAGTACTTGGTCCTGCTAGTGAAGGCAGGGGACTGGACTCGATGACCTTTCAAGGTCCCTTCCAGTTCTAGGAGATGGGATATCTCCATTAATTTTAGAGGGGAGTGTGTATGTTACCCATAACTGGTGAAGTTGAGGACCTGACCTCTGGCAGGTACAGACAAGGCTTCCTCATCCTAAGGGCAGTCCGGGGTAATCCTGAGAAGCGTCATAATCTCTCACTCCTCAGAAATGAAATCCTGAGAAGCGTCATAATCTCTCACTCCTCAGAAATGAAAACTACGGGCTGGATAGAGCAGCATCCTGAGCCGAGTGATTCCCACTCATATAAATTATAATTTTCTGAGTAATGTTGGATTTTTA